GAGACTCTCCAAAAGATTCGAGACCCAAGCACAGCGGTCAAACACTGTCTCGTCTAGCACATTAAAAAAGCAGCACAGTGGAATACAAAAACGTTTAATGTGAACAGTCTCTTACTGACACAATTACAGTGTTCTCTGCCCTCTCACTTGGAGATAATGCAAAGGAGTGAGAATCTAAAAGTGCCCCTTAATAGCCTATGTTAATCATTTAGAGTACTCAAGCTTTTGCTATAATTAAAGGATATTGCAATCTCCCGAACTATAGTTGTTTCATCATCAGCACTGCAGATTCATAAAAGAGTTCACTGCCTTGCCTTGGTGGTGTCAACCAGATTTGAGGCAGAGTTGACCTTGCCCTCCACACATGTCTCTGAAACATGTCCATTGAAATGACAGGATGTTGAGCGCTGCCATCCTCCTCTTGTGCCAAAGACATGCAATTCATAGATTCTGACAGAAGAAAATACATTTTTTTAAACTCAAAAATCAAACTGCAATAGCTGTGAAGGACAATTGAGTAAAAATTTAGAATCCATTTAATATTTCACAAAGCATCAAGGATTGATGGCTGTAGGAATTGATAGTAATAATAAATATTTCTTAGAGAATCCAGAAAAAACACGAGAAGTCTGTATATGATTGCGGGTAAGCTTGAAACACCAAATTTAGGTGCACTAATATTGCTTTTAAGCAGTATACATTTTTATTAGTTCATACACTCCCTAGGAATAAAACCCAAATCGACCCTTAAAAGTGTTAAATTGATTTAGTTTTTGTGACTGTTCTACTTGGCAGAAGAACTTAAGCCCAAGATCCATCTTGAGCAAAGATTGCAGATTTTCAAGAACTTTCATATTATGTTACCTATAATTGTGGTCTTTGGGGTAATTTCTCATGCTCAAACCCAAAGTGTTGAAAAGTATTAGATTAGATAATTAGAAACAGATATGCACGTTGCTATGGAAACCGGAGGTGTACATTAAAAAATGCAGGGTGTAATGACACACACAATGAAGAATGACATATTCATATGCATGAATAACATTCAAAGCAGCTTCCCTATTGGTCCGTAATTGCATGTCTAATTGACTGTGACCCGTGTTAATTATTATCCCTGTATTTTTTGTTCTTTCTGAGCAGACTGAGCGGAAACGCCTCATATCGACCCGAGTGTTCACTGTACATAGAAATTCTTTAAGGTTTAAATTGAATTACCACTTTTATGATTATTTTGGGGTGATAAAACAGCTAAATATGCAGAAAATGCTGGGAACACATAGTTATGTAAAAACTGTTTAGATCCAGGAGAAATGATCACCTGTTGTTCTCCATCCTGCTGTTTTCAGGGTTTCATTTAGTATTTCAAAGACCAAAAAGGCAGCAAAATAATTTGTTAGATTGTTTTTTTTACCCCTAACATTACCTCTAATATTAGAAATGAATTGTAGTTTTGTTTTACTTGTACCACCTTTGACTTCTAATTCATTGTCATCTTAGTTTAACCTTGATTTCTAAAGGTATTCACTGTTTTTTTTTTACCATTGAACACAGCAAAAACTCAAGTGTTAAATTTAGGCCCCATTTACACGAGAACGCTCGCGGGTGAAAACTTAAAAATATTTTATCGGATGTGTCTTTAGTTTACACGGCGATGGCGTTTTTGGGGCTTAAAAACGCAAAAAAGTGAAACCACCCTCCAGAGTGGAAATCTTACAAACGATCCACTGACACTGGAGTTTTTGCTGTGTAGGGCTGTCACGATTCCTCGATTAAAGTCAAGTACTCAATAATACATTTTTTTTAAAAAGTAGGATAACCGGCAAAATACTGTTTTTTGTTTTTTTTTGTTTTTTCCCACAGAGAAGCAAGAAGCTTTAATTATTTACACGCATGCATGTTACATGTTAAAAGTACCCCAGCTTCGTTCACAGTAAACGCTGCTCCACACAAACTCAGTCTCTGTGTGTGCTGTTTGTTTAGGTTTGCAATAACATGCATTAGGGAACGCAAAAAGTCGGACGTGGTTTGTGTTTCATAGTTGCACTTATCATTTATATATACGTGTAGTGCGGGTTTCAGCATCTCGGGTTGCTTATAACTTTCATCTGGGAACGCAGCTGTGCGCCATTTCACAAGATTTGTAACCTAATTTATTTGTAAATCTACACCAATTCAGGAGGATACATAAATATGTTTCTAAATATTCAAATTGTTGTTCATCAGGATTTCAAAATAAAAGTTTAAACCCTCACATTGAGTTTGCATGTTTTGATGTGCACGTTCTTGTTCAAGAAATTACAACGACTTTTGCATTTCTATCGTACAGAAGTGACCAAATATCAAAGATTAAGTGGACATTTGAATTAAATTTTGTTTGGCAAATATTAATCATGCCGTAGTGTAACACCAGGCCGTTGGCACCTTCTGCAGGCATTTGTTATAATACGTAAATGTGTTATGCTTATATTCAGACTGATCTCATGAAGTGGCGTGTGTATGACACGCCAATTCGTATTTCCATTTTTGGCGTGCTATCAAGACGCATAATCGCTTTTCAGCGTGTTTATGAACGCCGTTGACTTAACGATATTACTGTATATATAAATATATGACTTGCCTCAACCCCGTCCCTAAACCTACCCGTCACTGGGGTAATTTATGAGTCTTCCCCTACCATCCTAGGAAAGAAAATATCGCTCCCCAGATGTAGATCTACATGTTGCTTCATTTCGCTCGGACATTTGACGGCGTGTACAGACACGCGGAATCACTCGGACATTAATGGCGTAAACATACACGCATACACGCGGATAGCTCAAAATGCGCTTAGATAACACACCACTTGACTTGAAAGTGGCGTGGCTGTTTACGGAAAAGTCATGATGTCATGTTGTTATATTAGTTTGTATAATTTATTGTACATGTGTATTTTAACAGTGTTGTTCAATAAAACCCATATGATTACTTTGAACCAATTATCTTTGCTTGTTATTATATATTTGTACAGTACTTTAAGTCATTATAAAGGCTGTTGTTCACTTGGATCTATTTTTATTACAACATTTTTTATCCGATTAATCGGCGGAATACTCGGTAGAATACTCGATTACTAAAATAACTGATAGATGCAGCCCTAATTGTAATTCATTCTATCTTGAAGGGTGCATTGTACATAGCAGCAGTAACTAATTACATGCATTAACGCAATGTATCAGAAACAAATAAATATTTTATTCTCTGAAAAGGTCAGGGAGTTAAAAAAAAAAGCTTAAAATGTGAGAGCAAGAAGTAGAACTTGATAGTGGTATGAAAATCCATTTCCCTAAATGAGATGTGTAAATGAAGAAGACAAGTGGACCAAATATCAAACCTTGAGGCACACAATTGGTTCGTTCATGTCTCAGAAGGGTCTTCACCAAGATGTTGTGTACATTAAGAAGATGAGGGGGGCAAATACCGATCTTTGACATAGGTCATTGGCTGGTTCTGTAAACCCAGATTTTGTTTCTACTTAACCTTACGAGTGATCATTACTTATTCTTTTATGTTTTGTAAAAACCTGCTATCATTACTAAACAACATTAGTTGTTTGTACTATTTAGCTGAAAAATGTATTGCACTAATCAGGTTTAGTAGAGATAACTTGGTATGTTTAGTTTCCTAAAGTTCAAGTTTAAGGAACGGGAGGGGCGTCTAACGTCCAAGGGGAATTTTTTTTTCACACACGCCATTTTCTTTGTCTCGGCATACGATGAGGGAAACGCATATAGTGTTTTTATCACATTTATATAACTTACCGGTTTTCGTTTTTATAACAATATATACGTGCTGTGCACGGCTAAACCGCTCTCATTGGGGCATTTCCATTGACGCGCGATGCAGAGCAGACCAGACGGATGAGGTTTGCTTTTTAACAGGGAAACGACAAAAGTAAGTGTTTTATCTAATTTACAATGTATTTTATAATATATTAATTTATAGCTATATTTAAATGCTCTGCACGCTTAAACGAGCCGAAACTTTTCTCAAAGGCTTCTTCTTCAACTCAATACGGAGCTGATGAGGAGGTTTGCTTGTAACGTTAAAGGGTTAGTTCACCCAAAAATGAAAATTAAGTCATTAATTACTCACCCCCATGCTGTACCAACCCCGTAAGACCTTCGTTCGTCTTCGGAACACAAATGAAGATATTTTTGATTAAATTTGAGAGCTGTATAACTACCACATTGGCTGCCTAAGGGACTGCCTCTTGACGGCCCAGAAAGTCAATGAAGAAAATGTTTAAATATCCCAAGTGACTACCGTGGCTCAACTATATGTTTATCAAGCGATGCGAATACTTAGATTTCCACGACGCATGCGCGAGAATTGCGATCTGAAGTAGTGTAAGCAGATCGCAATTCTCGCGCATGCGTCGTGGAAATCTAAGGAAGTCTCGTTCTGGCCTACAAGGAAGAAAAGAAATAGTCGAATAAACTCGTTATTTTTGTTTGTTTTTTCGCACAAAAAGTATTCGCGTCGCTTGATAAACATATAGTTGAGCCACGGTAGTCACTTGGGATATTTAAACATTTTCTTCATTGACTTTCTGGGCCGTCAAGAGGCAGTCCCTTAGGCCAGTGTTTCCCAACCCTGTTCCTGGCGGCACACCAACACTGCGTGTTTTCTTTGTCTCCCTTATCAAACACACCTGACTCAACCCATCAGCTCATAATCAGGTGGGTTAATGAGCTGATGGGTTGAATCGGGTGTGTTTGATTAGGGAGACAAAGAAAACACGCAGTGTTGGTGTGCCGCCAGGAACAGGGTTGGGAAACACTGCCTTAGGCAGCCAATGTGGTAGTTATACAGCTCTCAAATTTAATCAAAAATATCTTCATTTGTGTTCCGAAGACGAACGAAGGTCTTACGGGGTTGGTACAGCAGATGTGAGTAATTAATGGTGATTTGAGTAATTAATGACTTAATTTTCATTTTTGGGTGAACTAACCCTTTAACAGGGAAAACACCGAAAGTAAGTGTTTTTTAACCTAATTTCCAACATGTATTCCATGGCATTATATTGTTTTGTAACGATATTTATGTGATTTGCGCGCCTCAATCTTTCTCACATAGGTCCTAACGCTAGCGTTAGCAGCTAACGTTACATCTTCTTTGACTCATCATGATACAGTGCAGACGAGGAGTTTGCTTTTAACAGTGAAAACACCGAGTAAGTTGTCAAGTGTTTTAACTCATTTACAAAACGTGTTTTATAATGTTATATTGTTTAATGACAATATTTGTGATATGCAAATTATGAAGTATGTATTTATCATCAAACTATCTTTTACTCTCGTTTGTCAAACAGAACAACTCCACAAACTGCGGACCAACAATGCACTTTATTTCCTTATTTGGAGGACCTATTTTCTTAGAATGTGTAAGTAATTCTTTCAGATTAAATATTTATGCAAAATCTACTTATTAGATTAACTTTTGGTTGATGTTTGGATATGTTTTCATGTTTAAATGTATTGATTTCGCTATTCGTGTTTGCTAGGAGCATTTCTATGATGCACCAAGTGGCTAAGGGTACCAAGCTTGGTGTTAAAAAAAAAAACTGAACAGACTAGAACCTGGTGATGGTAAGATTTTACAGATAACATATGAGAGAATGGATAACTAGCAATTTGTGAACTAGATATTCTGTATTTCATAACACTTATTTTGAATTCGTCCAATTTTGTGTGTGTGTGTGTGTGTGTGTATATATATATATATATACTGTATACTGTATATATATATATACTTAAAATGAGTTTTCAAACCAATTGTTGTCATGATTTGACAGGTAGATGTTTTCTTCCTGTGTAATTTTAGACCCCACTGATTGGGAAATCTCTGCCCATCACCTGCCCTGAAGATCACAAAGCCTCAACAAGGGAACGAAGATTCTTCCGGCGGCTGACTATTTATTTATTTATTTATTTAAAGGGTTAGTTCACCCACAAATAGAAATTCTGTCATTAATTACTCAACCTCATGTCGTTCCAAACATGTAAGACTTTCATCTTCACAACATAAATTAAGAAATTTTTAATTAAATCTGAGATCTTCCTGTCCCTCCATTGACAGTCTATGCAACCACCACTTTCAAGCCCCAGAAAGATATAAAGGTACATCATTAAAGTACTCCATGCGACTCCATTGGTTTAACATACACTTTATTAAACTTCTCAAGTGCTGTGTTTGCTTAATTTATAAAATATGAATTATATTTCCAACTATTAAATATTAAAATATTTCCAAAATGCGTTCAGGAGAACTTTACAACTCGTGCATGTTGTTGATGCAAGAGCAGATGTTGTTGCGTGAATGTGCATTGAAGATTAATATTTTGTAAATAAATTTGAGTTAAAATTGTCACATGTAGTTACATGGATTACTTATGATTTCCTTTTTACCTTTCCGTGGCTTTGGAAGTGGTAGTTGAATAGGCTAATAAGGGACAGAAATCTCTTGTATTTCATTAAAATTAAGTGTTCCAAAGATGAACAAACTCTTACTGATTTAGAACAACATGAGGATAATAATAATGACAGAATAATTAATGACAGAATTTAATTTTTTGGATGAATTAAATATTTGATTCACTTGGAAATCAGTAAATTCAAGTCTTAATCTAACCAAAGTAGTTTCTTGTTTGAGTCATGAAAGTCTCAGAAGATTGAACTTTTTACACCATAAACTTGCTGTATTTGTAAAACACAAATGGTATTGATTGTAATTGGTCTGGCTTTGTGTTGTCTAGGGAACCAGTACTCCAGGATTTTTCGAGAAAGTTGGATCTGCACAGTCTTTCCTGCTCTATGAAACTACCATGCACTGAACTTTACAGTTGGCAACTGGACACAACTGATCCACTCATATCCTGCAACTGTTTTTCATCTGCTGAACGTTGTTGACTCGAGCACTGCTGCACTGTTGCAAAGTCAAAGGTACTGAATCAACTTAACTGACACAGGACTTACATTCACTGACATGTACAGGACTTGAACTATTACAGACCATTTGATAAGCAACTTTCATACAATTCCGATGACAGAAATTCCTATATTGTGCTTTCATTTATTTTAAAAGTTAACCTATGATGTAAAGGGACTTGTTTGTTAAAGGGTTAGTTCACCCAAAAATGAAAATTCTGTCAGTATTTACTCACCCTCATGTTGTTCCAACCCCGTAAGACCTTCGTTCATCTTCGGAACACAAATTAAGATATTTAAGATATTAAGATCGCTCCTGCATACAGTCCATAGGCTTCTTGAGGGACTGGCTCTTGCTGTCCCCGAAAAGTCATTAAAGACATCGTTAAAATAGTCCAAGTGACTACAGGGGCTCAATCTTAAGTTTATCAAACGACGAGAACACTTTTGTGCGCAAAAAAACAACAAAAATAACGACTTTATTTCAACTATTCGTTTATTTCTCCCTCTGCGCGAGTCAGATTACTAGTTTAATAGCGTAAGCTTCTGTTATTGTACGTCACACGCATCACACACACATGACCAGCGTCGGCCAATAGTGAGCCTACGTGTGACGTAGCTCTACGCAATCACACTACGTTAACTGACTTACAGGCTCATGGAGAAGGAAGTGAATAGTTGAAATAAAGTCGTTATTTTTGTTGTTGTTTTGCGCACAAAAGTGTTCTCGTCGTTTGATAAACTTAAGATTGAGCCCCTGTAGTCACTTGGACTATTTTAACGATGTCTTTAATGACTTTTCGGGGACAGCAAGAGCCAGTCCCTCAAGAAGCCTATGGACTGTATGCAGGAGCGATCTTAATATCTTAAATATCTTAATTTGTGTTCCGAAGATGAACGAAGGTCTTACGGGGTTGGAACAACATGAGGGTGAGTAAATACTGACAGAATTTTCATTTTTGGGTCAACTAACCCTTTAATAAAAAAATGAGTTTGTAAAAACAACTGTTTGCATTTTGTCTTTAAACTTTATTTCAACCTTAGTCTGGGATCATAGTAGAATTATGTATTCATTGTAAAGTTAAAAAATAGATTAATATACAGAGTAATATACAGTGATGTGTTTATTTCGAAGTGAATTTATTCTTTTCAGATTAAATGATTTGTCAGTTTATTTTACAGTTCTTTAAAGTAGGTAATGCAGAACCCAAATTAGAAAATCTGGTAACTCCTATCCTATACAAGTGTTTTTATTTGTAAAAAGGTGTTCTATCAACACCAGGATGGTGTAATATTTGACTCCTATAAGGTTGAGAAGATTGTGAGATCCATTTTTTGAATGGATCTTAATCGAATTAACATATAATTAATCTGAAAATGTTAATACATATGTTAATACAACTCAACATGTTTAGTTTCAGCTTGTGTAAAAGGTTAGGGTTCCATGTTAGTACAACTTAACATGTTTAGTTTCAGCTTGTGTAAAAACTAAAGTGGTTTAAGGCAACGGGTTTCCACGCGATTTGCGAGTAAAGTCAACTAATTCGGGTTAAGAGTAAGGATCTACCTGTAAGGACTCAAGCCTGAAAAGAAGTAGTTCCTGTGATTCAAGAAATGTGTCCTGTGATGGGACAAAACAAATAAATTGATATAACTGTCACGGTTTATAAATCCTATGTCTCTTTCTCGTCTCGTCCCTTGTTGTGTATGTGTATGTGTGTGTGTGTGGATGTGTGTGGGCGGGCCAACTCTTTATGTTGATTGAGCAATCAGCTCCAATCACTTCTCTCCACCCGCTGCAACTCATCTCATCACCCTTCAAATACTCACCACTTTCTCATCTTTGTCAGATTGTTGTTTTGTGGTGTGCGGTTGTGTTGATCCCTCTGCGGTCCTCATTGTTCCTGTTCCTGTTCTTGTGGATGATCTGGATTTGTTGTGTTTGTTCAGCACTCATCATAACTTCTCTCACCGGATTTATCTGACCATTGGAGTCCCTGCGCCGCTAGCCTGTCACATCCGGACTTTTCATATACTTCAACGTCTTCAATTTATAAACTGAATTTCACTTGCACTTGCTTGCGTCTTTCGTTCTTGACAATAAATTGAACAAATATTTAAATATACAAAACCATATGTTTAAAGGTGCCCTCTGGCATTTAAAATCAAATCATACACCATATTCCATACCAGATGGGGGCAGCATACCTTCAGAAATACCTCCGCGGCCGCGTGCACTCTCATGTCTTAAAACAACACGGGCGAGCGCTGTGTTGCTCTGTCTCCCTCGCGCATATTAATCAAATCAATTGACACGATAGTAAAAGGTTGGAAGGCCGCAGATTCACGTGGAGCATTTGGAGATTTTCAGAGATTAGAGACTAAATGAACAACATCTCAATACTAAATTATAAAGGCCGTCTCATAGACAAGTCTGTGCATTTCGACGATATGGGAAAATGAAAGCCCAGGCTATTATTTCTAGTTTTATGGTATTCGTTTTGTTCATATTACATTTTTATCATTAGTTTTAATTAATTTGGCAGACAGCATTCCCTGATGTGGACCAAGCTAGCGTCTTTTTAGAGCTGCCAACTCTCACAACACTTTTCACACACTCTCACGCCACACATCAATTTTGTCGTGCACAGAAAAGGACACGGAGACCGATGTCAGCTCTCAGATTCTGTTCATTTTATTACGCAATTCAAACAATAAATACAGTTTTGGCGCTTTACACGACAGATCCCTGACGCATGTGAACCGATCATCTTTATAGCTAATGGTAAAAGAACACGAACACTGTTGAAAGTATGTTACAACTTACCAAAATGTATTCCTCATGCATAATATCGACCAATCATTTTTTTTAACTCATCCCTGAACTGAAATGTAGTAGTGGGCTGTATTTTCCACACGACTGACATCAGGTTCAAGTACACAAGCTGCGCGACTTACTCGTCTATTGGAGTTTGGCTGGTGGTAATGTTGTCTGCCTGCATACCGCCTCCCATGGCCGAAACTGGTATTACGACACCTGCCGGGCCGGGGCTAGTAATTTAGCATGCTAATTCAGATTAATATCTCGGCAGCATTATAACTTGTCATTTTTTTAATGACATCATCCACCTTATTTCTTCTCATTCTTTTGATGCGTGTAGCTCATTTTTGGGATATTTTAACCTAAATTTTTACAGATGGCACCTTTAAGGATTTCCATTTGAGGGGAGTTAGATATTATTTTCATATAAATATGTCTAAAGACAGGAACACAAATTATATGATTAGTTTTATTTATCCTCATACAGTACATTCAATAGGTTAACGTACCTTTCTAAAATGGAATAACATCTTAATGTTTTCTTTTTATCAGAAATTGAAGTTGTTAGCTAGTGACATACATAGTTTTGCTGTAGCTAACATGCAAGTTAGGTTCTGTAGCTTAGCTATATAAAATGCAAGAGGTCAGCAAAGTTAACTAATGAATAATAAGACTATATTATATACAATATAGCCCTAATGAGGCATCAGTGATGGGAACACCTGATTCTACAAACTAACAATTGAGTATATACTGAAAAGTATGTGACTATCCAAAATTGCAATAAAAGTATTATGACCTACGATTATGTTTAATCTCTCCTTTTTTTTAATAAAAACAAAAAGCTATAATTTCGCTTTCCTTTCTGTCATGAATAATATACAGGCCAATGAGTTGTGCAATGATAATGAAGCAAAGTAAAAGGTCACTGATCAACAAAAGGTTGTATACTAATGGAGGTTAAGGAATTGATGACAGCCATAATAATTAGCATTATTCAATATGTACACAGCTCCTTTGGTTTGAAGGATTGTACGATGTTTGCAAAGCCAATCCTTCAAACAGCATGTAAAAATTTAGCATTGTTTAAGGTTATGGTTCATTTATGGGATTTCCCGCCGTGAACTAAGTAGGCTATGCAGCTTATTTGAATTACTTAGTTAGTTAATTACTAGTCATAGGACATACTGATCCACATTTTTGATCCCAGGTCATTTTATTTATTTTTCATTATCAAATATCATTAGCATTAGCAAATTATCTTTTCAAAGGAGCAGAAAGCCCAAAATTTTAATCCTTTGTTGTTTCCACCTTTTACATTTTTTAAACGATGGCTTTGTATATAATCATCAATCTCTGTAATCACCATTTTATCCTTAAAAATCACAAATAAAATGTCCATTCAATAGCTTTTTTATTATTATTTGCATTTATCATTGATTTCCCTTCTGGTAGGAACAGATCTGACGCACATTATTGGACACATTTAAAAACAAAACAAAAACACAATATTTGCGACACAATGATAATGATAAATGGACTTTTAAACAATCTATCCCCAGTCATTTACAGTTGTATGTTTTATATACAAAGGGTTTGGTGTCTGTATGTCTCTTAGACAGCAATTCCTATGTCTGATGTTTGGAAAAGGTTGGGCTCCATATGATAAGACTATAACGGTTTATTGTTCACTGACGAATCACCTAGGTCATAACAGATGGAAATGCATAATTAATAGGCATCGGCTTAATGCATAAATGAATCTGTGTCGCTTTTCGTGTCATGACACCAACAGAGATTTTCACAATCCAATGAATTATGAATAAGGAAAAAAAAAAAAAACATGTCAAAATGAATACATCAACCTAAACTGCAACCAAAAGGTGAGCCAGAAGCATACATATTAGTAAACATACTGTTAGTTTCTATTTAGCAGTGTTTCAGAACAGAACTGGTAGTTCTAGCAGGGGAAAAATTGTGGACGTGATTTCACAAAGTACAACATGTTCCTGGATAAATATCTTTGTTGATCCTGGAACAACATTCCAATCAACTGACCAGATTCGAGGGACACGTTTTACAGTTTATGTCAAGTTTAGGCTTTCAACCAGGGTTAGGTGCTTCTATCAATGTTATTCAACTATCATTGCCCTCTGATTTTTAGATAATTTATGGGTAGGGTTAGGTTTAGGGGTAGCTATGTGGTTAGGCCAAAATATTCGAGCCCGATCTCATGAAAGTTCGTATCTATAGCACAGATGTCATTTCTCGTGCCATTTATACGCCAAAACTAGTTTTTCGTGTATATGGTACGCGTTTTTGGCGTGCATGATACGCACTTTTTGGCGTATAATAAGTATGAACTCCCCACCCCCCTT